AATTCTCCTTCTGGGTAAATATACAAAAGAAAGCAGGGACTCAGACAGGTATCTGTACACCCATGTTCCTAACAGCACTATTCACTATAGCCAAAAGGTGGAAGCAACCCAAGTGTCCATCAAAGGATGCATGGATAAACAAAATAGAGAATATACACGCACTGGAATATTATTCAGTCTTAAAATGGAAGGCAATTCTGACACATGGATGAACTTTGAGGGCACTATGCAAGGTAAAATAAGCCATTCAAACAGGACAAATACTGTATTATTCCACTTATGAGGCACCAGAAGCATCAAAGTTATAGAGACAGAAAGAGGAATGGTGGTTGCCGGGGGCCAGGGGAGGGGAAAATGTGGATGTATCACTAGTGGGTACAGAAGTTCAGCTTTTCTGGTTGTCTAAAAATGTGAATGTACTTAATGGCACTGAGCTGTACACTCAAAAGTGGTCCAGATGGTAAATTTTATGTTATGTGCATTTATCACTTTTAAAAACATTGTTTTGAAAGGATAAAGACTGAATGTACACTCAGAACCTAAAAAGAAAGATTGACACATTTGAATACATAAATGCTAAATATTCCTGGCTCTCTGTCCCCTTTAAAAAAATAATTAATTTTGGCAGCTGAAGAAAAATTGGGAAAAATATTTTAATTTGTTGACAAAACATTAATTTCCATAATCTTGATTTCCAGAAAAGGCTACTTTAAACCTTTAGGAAAGGTAGATTCGGCTCACTAATTAAAGAAATGCAAACTAAAACACTGAATATAATGCTGGCTAGCGTAGTAAACTTTTTTTATTATACTCCAAATTGATGAAGTGTTGGAAATTCCCATCTCCCAAACACCGCTATGTTCTGTGCTCCAATTTTAATTTATAAAGGTGACTGAGTGACAACACAGAGAGATCAATGCCATTGAAGGACAAGTGTAATGTTTTTCAAAGTGCCCCTAGAAAGGAGAGGCTCACCACACAGGGCCACAGAAGGAGCACCAGGTTTTGGTCAGGAAGTAGAAGCAAGAAGGAGAGATCAGTTTAGGGCTGAGCCTTTATCGGAGTCTCCTCTGGAAAGACAAGGCAGGGCAGAGTAACTAGTTTAGGATTGGCTAGTTTGAATAATTTGGGCTGCCTTTGGGCTATAGGGTGGTCCCTAGTTGCCTGATACCTGGCCCTGTGATGGTTAAGGGAGAGGAATAATGCTTTTTGGATTGTACTGGCTGGGCCAGACAGAGGAGGTATGGCTCTGGATTGGTTAGTTTGTACAGCAAAGGCATGCTCCCGGCTGAGCCCTTTGCTATCTCTAAATGGCTAGCTCTGGAGGGGTGATCTCCCCCCAAACAAAAAGGTGTTTTAAGATGTCAAAAACATCATGCAGAAAATAGAAAACACGATTAATACACATTGGTAGGAATAAATTTGCTAGAACCTTTGGAAATGCAACTTAGCAATATGCATTAAATGCTTGAATGTGAACACTCTTTCGACCCACAAATTCCACTGCTTTTACAAACAAGAAATTGTAACAATTTCACTGTAGGTTCACAGATTGTAATAAACGTACCACTCTGGTGACAGATGTTGATAGTGGTGGGGGCGGCTATGCTGATGTGAAGGCAGGGATACATGGGAACTCTCCCTCTTTTCTGCTCAATTTTGCTGTGAAGCTAAAACTTCTCTAAAAAAGAAAATCTATTAAAACAAATTAACATGGTTTTCAGGAAAGGATTGGGGAAAATTATAGTGCATCTGAAAATCCAGAACTATACAGCCATTAAAAATAAATAAAATGAAATAAATTATTTTCGAAAGATACCCTGCAGGTGCAACATACAGTCCTGTGAACAGCACAGGGTGGGCTGGTGGCTGCAACACCAGGGCTTGGAAGGTGCAGGCCAACCCAGGTTGGAAAGGAAAGAACTGTGGCTAAGCTACGTGGCTAGGACTGGAGAAGGGCAAAGTTCTGGGATCCCTGCCTGCAGAGACACCAAGTCACTCTTGCTTTCCACCAGCAATGGTGTGTTCTGGCTTTTCTGGGTACCATTCAGCCACATGGCCTGTAGGATTCACCTCCCCTGGGTCTGACATGGCCCAGTGGAATGGAGTCTCAGCTCCCTGGCAAGCCCATCTAGGCAGCTTTCCAAACTCCTGGTGGCAGAGAGAAAGTCTCCAAGTCCCTGTCATTCCCAGCAGATTGGAGCATTCGACTGAGCCTCCTCTCAGTGCTTGGAGGTTGGCCAGACCCAGGCTTCTGCCGTGTGCAGGGCGGGCAGTAACCCGGGCTCCCACCTCTTGTGTGCAGACAACCAAACCCACTAAGCAAAAGAGATGAAGCTCCAGTCCTTCAGGCTCCTAGGTGGTGAACCAACATGTCTGGGCCAAGAGAGAGGAGGATGCAGTAGGCTATCAGCCTTGGACTTCTGTGTCCCACTATTGTCAGACACCAAGGTGCTGACACTGGATGTTGCTCTTAACCTTCAGTGCAAATTGCTTCAGAAAGCTGAGCCTGGAGAGAGGAAGCACATAAATATGCTCGTCCAGAATGACCTTAATCAAACCAAGTTCAGGATGGCTTTCCAGGTCTAATTAATTGGGTCATGCTACCATTAGATGGTCATAGCAAGTTTACTTGCATGTTCTGAGAAGCAAAATGGAAAAAAACAAATAAACAAACAAGCCTTCCAAGGAGGGTATTTATATTTGGGCTTCCTCTGTTCAGCTGGTGGCTGGAGAATATTTTGTATGCATTCGTTCTTTCTTCGTTCGGGAAAACTTACTAAGTGCCTATATTGTGCTGCATGGTGATCAAGGCCCTGGAGATACAGCAATCGACAGGGCAGACATGGGCTCTACCATAAAGTGCCTGACACCTTCAAGGGAGGAAACAAACAGTAATCATGCTCCCAAATGAAAAAAGACAATGTGTGTATGACAAGTGCTATTAAGAATGTTATACAAGTGATGGGAAAGAAGGTAGCTGGGAGGGTGCTACCTTAACTGTAGTCAGGATAGAATTGCTGGAAATGTAGCAGTGCCCTTTCAACCTAGATGGAAGATTTCGATTCGTTTTAATTGAATGGTGTAATTACTGACAATAAGACCACTCAAATATATGATATTGATCCAATAAATTATGAGATTGGCCAGAGATATACCCAAGAAATTGGTGAGAGAGATCCAACCAAATGTGTTTGGAGGTATATTTTTACGTTTTCGCCCTAAGTGTGTCAGATTATATGACCCTATATCAGCTGAGCTGTTTAGTTTCTAGGTTATGACACACTAACTTTTTTCCAGGATAGAATAGAAAATAAATAATCTGTAAGAGAAAAATGATATAAGTGTTCCTTCAAGGACCTTTCACAGATGCCGGAGACCAACAAAATTTTAATTTAAGAACAATAGTGTAATTTTAGATTGTGAAAATCAAGATTCCTGAATAAAGCATCTCCTGCCTCAGTGAGTAGTTTCTGTCCAGGCGAGTTAAATGGAACTAGTGCCACACTTTGCACAGTTTGGAAGGAGAGGCAAGTCAGAGCGAGGGGCTGTTCATTAGGTCTTCGCCTGGGTAATGTGGCTCCTCATGGGGAAACCTCACTCCTCTGTGTGTTATAGTCACCCAAGCACCACCCACTCTCTACAATGCAACTGTCCACCCACTGTTCACACCTGGAGAGAGATATCCCTGCTCCTCAGCCCAGGAAATGCTGAAGCCAGCTTCCTGGGGTCACCACTGGAATCCTCCAATAATCCATTGCCAGTTGGGCCTGCTCCTGTTCTCAGGATCCATCTTCTAGACATCTAGAGTCCACCTCCAGCAATTCCTCACATTTCTAGTCTCAAGAGAGTTTCCATTCTAGTTTTTAAAGGAGGCTTTACATTTACTAATGTAAATATTATTGGCCTCTTCTTTCTCTAGATTTGATACAGCAGTGGAGCATGGAGACTCACTTCTCTGGATTTAGCACTGGCTGGAGGACTCTTTTGAAGCCACCTTATTTTTCCTGATATCGTACAAAGAATGTCTATCATTTTTATTTTGCTTTACTAATAAAAGTAAATTGAATAAGTCACGCAGCCATTCAGTAGCCATGTGACTTTGGATGTGTTTCTCTAGGTGGGACAGAAAGTGTGGACACTTGTGCTGTAGAAAATGGGCAGTGCCCAAGGGTCTACAAGACACAGAGGTGTGGAGTTTCCCAGTGGGGAGCCACATTGTCCATATAATCACTTCCTGAGCAGCCCTCATGCCAACAAATTACTTAAATTCTGCAAAGCTACATTTTCTTACCTATGAGATTGACATAATAACAGCACCTAACTAAATGGGATAATAAAAATAAAACGTAGTATGGTACCTACTATATAGTAAATTCTTCGTAAATATCAGCTTTTATAATTTTTAAAGTGAATAGCATGAGTTCTTTTATTACTTTTTAATTATCTCTATTTTGTGATCAAAATAATAAGCATTTCTTTCCAAATGAAACAAGACAGTAAGGTATAAAGTGAAAACAGAACTTACACCCTCCTTTTCCCAACATCCCAACTGATAAGTAACCACTATTGATATATTTTGGAGTATTTGCATAATTTTATGCAAATGAAAACATACAAATTTTATTCCCCTCCAAAGACATCATATTATATACAGAAATCAACAACTTGACTTGTCACTTACATTTTGGACATCTTTCCTTCTTATTTTATTCAAAAATAGTGTCTTGTATTTAAAGCAGCAGGGCAATCCAATTTATGGGCTATACTCCAGCATAAGTTCCTAGGACTAAAGTTATCATTGCTGAGAGTACCCGATGATCCTCTAGAGAAAAGGAACCCCTTTAGAATAACGCTACTTGGAGGGCACAATAAGCGTTCAAATTAGAATCAGAACAGTTACTGACTCTGTGCAATAACCAGTCCTAACTAGATTACCCGCAAGCTCTAGATCACACCCCTGCCTTAAGTCACGTCGGCCCGCAGCCCTCACCTGCTTGTGCTACTAGGGCTGAAAAACATCACTGTGGTTTTCCCCGCTGAGGAGCCAGCATTTTGTCTGACCTACTTTGCAAAAGCAAAAAGATTAGCAATAAGAAGGCGGTCGATCAACAAGCCCTCCTCACCGAAGCTGTCAAGGTAAGATCTAAGCGATAGGACAACAGGCGCGGAGAGAGGGTATGGGAAAAAATACAATTAAGAGACAATATTCCCCAGGTAGGCTTAGGACAATTTATATCTTAGGGTGCCTCCTGGAATCTTCAGATTGCTTGTCATCTACGCCAGCGTTCCTTCAACTTCCTCTCCCCCACCAAAAACACGTACAAGATTAGGTCTCCCTGTGCAGCGTCTCCCTGGAACTCAGAGGAAGTCCGAGGAAGAGGCACGTCTGGGGTTCCCAGTCGTGGAAGGGGAGGCAGGTGTGGGAGGGAGTCCAGTGACAGTGGTGGCAGATGGGAAACTTAAGACTGGGCGATTATTGAACCCTTTGCCTTATCGCCCTCCATACAGAAACTATGCGGGAGCGGCGGTGGGGTTGGGGGTGGGGGAGGGTGTTAGGCTTAGAGGCGACTTGAAGTTCTGCGGGTCTGAGTACAGCCCAGAGCGGCCGGCGCTGAGGAGAATGGACCTAGGGCGGGCGAGCCTCCCGCCTAACCTGTGGCCGCTGCAGAGTGGAAAGGCTGGAGTAGGAGGGGACGTGATACAAAGTCCCTGCGCGCTGCTGCCCCGGGACTGAGCGGGACACAGACTGTCCCAAGGTGGAAAGGAGCAGCGACCCCTGCCCAGACCTGCTTGGATTCTAGTCCACACAGGACCCGGAGCCTGAGGCGGCGCCAGGAGAGGAATGGTTTGGTCCTTGCGGGCGAGTGGGATTCTCAGGAGCCCAAAGGAGCCTCAGCTGGTACATCCGACCTCGTGTGCGCCCGGTGAGGGCGAGGGTGCCCACCCACCCACCCAGGCTGGGCTGCCCCTGGCTGTTTCCCGAGACTGTCGTGGGAACTGACCCACGCTCCAGCAGCTCCACAGAGTGCCGGGCTTCTTTCTAGTCGTCCGGGAGGGACCCTCTTAAGTGAATCCCCCGGGGCCCTACGCTGCAAGGGGCCGTACGGGCGCCCAAATCCGGACTGCCTTCCTGAACCCTTCTTTCCTAGATTTTTAAAACAAGTTTCAACGCTAAACCACCTTCACTTCTGCTATGATAATTTTACAAGATTCATCTTTACAATTAATTGGCGTTCAGGGAACTGAGGAACTGTTTCTCAATTCACGTGCAAAATATCAAACATGAAAAAATCCTTTTTGCCAAAGTAAATGCGAATTTCGCTGCAGAGGCATGCGGGAGACGAGAAATAAGGGGGAGCAGGAATGCGCCACAGAGCTGGGGACGAGAGGGATCTCCGAGGGCCGGAGGGGCCCTGGAGCCTGCAGAAGAAGGGATGTCCCAAGGCATCGCTGCCTCCTGGTGGGAGGCGGTAACGGGGCTCGGGCTGGGGCGCCACGTCGAGCAGAGGTTGGGGAGGAATCTGGCAAGGTGTGCGAATCATAAATGGTCCTTTAATGGTCTAGATTTTTAATGCGAAGAGCAGAGGAAACAGGTTAACCGATTAAGGCGGAAATGGCCCATTTTGAGCGCCATTTGCGTCCACAGTTAACATGGGTTGGACACATAGCCAGCGCTTCCGCATCCTCCCCAACTCGTCCCCCCGTTCGCCATTTTCCGACTTCCGGAGTGCTATGGGTTTTTGTTTTTTTTTTTAAGGTCCTTGGGACATCACGGTCCCCGGTCTTAGGCGGCATCAGACTACGCATCCCCGGAATCAGAGCAGACTGAGAGCGCCTGCAAGGAAAGCTGAGTCTAAGCCGCCTCTTCTGTCTCTTTGCGAGGCACTGGGGCCCCCTTTTCTCCCCGCAATTGCAGATGTAACGCCTGAGATGCATGGACAGCTGTTCTACCTGTTCCCGGTAGAAGTGTAAGGTGGGTTATTTATTCCTTTGGCTTTCTCCCACTTGGGTCTCAGGGTGGTAAATTACTTTATCTAAAGCCAAAGCTGTTGTGGGGTGGCCATCTCTTCCAGCACTTTCTTTCTGTAACACCAAGCATTCTCCTCCGGTTATTTCTGACCTAGGGTAGTAATGTTCCCTTCTGGTGCCAACCTTCCAGTGCATCCCCATCCATTCTTGGTTTCCTTTAACCTGTGCTCACTTGCCCTTTGTAGATAATCACTTTATTAAACTCCTCTCAATACCCCTTTAGAATGCACATTTGTTTTGTGTGACAACATTGATTCATTTAGGCCCCTCTTACAAATACACAATCACTCCAAAATATTTAGTAAGCCAAAATATTTAGTCCTGGGGTATTTCAGAAGTTGGACATAGAAAGAGGATCCAGCAGAGCAAACTGAGAAAGAGTGTCTGCTGAAGTGAAAGGAGAAGGAGGAGAGTGGGATATCAGGAAGCCAAGGAAGTATGCTAACTATGAGGACTGTGAGGATAGAAAAGCTGAGCTGTGGGAATGAAAGTCTCCTTGCAGAGGTTCAGGAGAGGCTTGGAAGTGAAAGATGGAGACATTGCCTATATACTGTTAAGGTGATTTTTTTAAGCTTTCACTTAGAAGTAATTTAAACTTTACAAGAAAGATGCAAGAATAGTCCATAGATAGCCAGCATACCTTTTATCCATATGCCTCAATTTTCAATAATATGTGGTGCCTCTCTCTCTGTCTCTTTCTTTCTTATTCTCTTTCTCACATACACACAATTAGAGACTAGATTTTGTATATTGTGTCCACCTACACCTTAATATTTCAGTGTGTATCCTATGAACAAGGCTTTTACTGAAGCACAGTATAGTGATCATTTTTGGGAAATTTAACCTATATACAATAGTTTTATGTAATCTAAAGTTCATGGTCCAATTTTGCCAATTCTCCTAATAATGTCCTTTGCAGTATTTTTACTCCTGCGGTTCATGATCCAGTCCAGAACAAATGTTGCATTTAGTTATCCTGTCCCTTCAGTCTTGTTTAAGATGGGAAAATTCCTCACTATCTCATGACCTTGACATTTTTAAGAATATGGGCCAGTTATTTCATTGAATAGTCCTCAGTCTGGTTTTATTTGATGTTTCCTCATGATTAGATTGAGATTATGCATCTCTCGTGGGAATGCTGTGTGAGCGATGTATAATTTCAAGGCATTATGTTTGGAAGTACACAATGTCTGTGTGCTGCCCACTGGTGATTTTAACTTTGATCATTTTCCCCCTCACAACTAATAAGCAATCTAAAGGAAAAGAACTTGAGATAATGTAAATATTTTGCTTCTCATTAAAGTTCCCCCTATTAATATTTAGCATCCATGGCAATTCCTGCCCAAATGAAGTTTTAATGTATTTATTGCAAAATGATGATTTTCCAATGCTTCCATGCTCTACTCATTTGTCCATTGGAATTCTACTGTAAGAAAATCCTCCATTCTTCTCTTTTTAATTGTCTATTTTAAAATTAGTATAAACTAACAGATTTCTATCTTAACAAGGTATAATTCATTCTCTTCCTATTTATTTCAATCCTCAAATTCTTAAGTGCTTTTGTAGTGGAGCAGAGAAATGAGATAACTGAAGATAAATGAGAGATTTTCTAGAAATTTTTTTCTTTTTAATTTTTGTTTTTTTCGGATGTACATCATATTTCAAATTCTGTATACGTTACATCGTGTTCACCACCCGAACACTAATTATAGTGCATGCCCTCACATGTGACCCTAATCACCCCTTTTGCCCTCCCCCCGCCCCCTTCCCCAATGGTAACCACCAGTGATCTAAGAATGTATGTTTGTACCCCAAGGGGAATGAAGTCATGGTGAAGGAGAGATACCTGATGAAGTACAGAGGGTATATTTCCCCTTTAATAAGCAAAAGGAGAGGTAATACAGAGAGGGTTTGGGCTAAAATAGAACACCTTTATAGAAAAACTTTCTTTGAAATTCACCATTAACATACTGCTCATCTTTATTTTTCCTCTACATTTTACACAGTGTGAAAGCTGATCTCCCTGTACCACCATATGGTGGAAATTTAGTTTGGTCACATTGCTGCATTGTTGACCCTGTTGACAGAGTGAGTTTCAACCATATTTTAGCCTTGACACATCTCTGGGTGACAAAGCAGGCAAAAGGTCTACAATCACTTTCTCTTAAGGTGCCTCACAGCAGTGGCTGTTCTGAGGTAATTCTATCCTGCTGTTGTATTTCTGCTGTTGACCTTAGAAATGAAATAACAAGGTCTTTAGCCAAAGTGACTTTATTTGGGAATAGCAGAAGAATTGCAACTTGGGACAAGCAAATGATGGTTAACCATAGAGGAGACAAAGGGAGGGTCAGCTTTTATTAGGTTTTAGGAGGAAATGGGGGGGGGGGAGGGCGCTGTGATGGTTTTCATTGGCTGCAAGTGGTGGGCAGCTTGTTGTTGCTGGAAGAACAGAAGGAAATCCTTCTTCCTGCTGAGGTCTGTAAACTGCAGTGAGCGACACGTGCGTGAGAGCCCTCCCTTCATGGCTTCCTGACTCCATTTTGATTGAGGTTTTCTTCGCTCATTTTCACACTGCTCAACAGGCGGCACCCACTCAAGCAGTAAAATGTCTCACCTTTTTACTAGTGCTCCCTAAATGTTCTGAAAATTATTTATAGGACTGCACAGCATCATTTGGCTTCCCAGAGGTACACCTTGGTTCCCCTCTGGATGGGATGTGGATGCGAACACCACAGTTTTCTCCACTCCTAGGAGTTCCCTTCTATGAATCTTCTCTAATTTGTCAATTTCACTTATATTGCCTGTAGAGGATAATTACTCCCAGGGCATGTTGAGTTGCTTCCTGGTAATTCTGTGGGGATCTTTCTAGAATCCATAGCGCTGCTCACACATTGATCTTATTTTGAGAGCTTCTCTCATAATAGGAAAAGTCTATTCCATAAGCTCTCCTAGAACTTAACAACAAGAAGACCTTGAGCAGAGGGAATGGTAATGTGTTAAACGTAACGTTTGCTGTGAAATTTTTAAAGAGGCTGAGAAAGGTAGGCCTGCAAAAGCCAGGAAAAACATATAATTTGTCACCCAAACCAGGACACTTAACAATCAAAGGGGGCACTGTTAACGATTTTCCAGGATGAGAAACTAGGACTATCTCAGGCACACTGGCAATGTGATTGACCTAGTTTTGACCAAAAATGGAATTAAAGATGGTAGGAGTGAAAATTGACAGGAATGTAGTGCTTTCGAATTGAATAGAGTTTAAAGTAGTGTATGGGTGAAGAAGGGGTGGAAAGACTGGTAAAGTGAGGCTATTCTCGGTAGTTCTGAGTAGTTTGGTCCATTAGAGAACTCAGCTGTGTTTTGAGTTATGTTAGGCACATTGCCAGCATCCTTTCTAATTCTCCCAGGCACTGGGCCCGATGCACCATCATCGTGTACATACTATTATGTTTATACATATGAAGCTCAGATAGATCATATAATTCAAATCCAGATTAAAACCCAAAGCTATAAGCAAAGACACAGTGGTGGATTAGAGAAGTTAAATGTTTGAAGGACGGTGGATAACAACCATCCTGGACCTACAAAACTTAATTGAATATAAAGAGAAAATTTCTTTGTCCATAACTAGGCTGCCATCCAAGTCACCACCTACAGTGTCAAAGGAGATGATTAAGCACTGTTCAGTCAAAAGTTCTTCAAAAACAAAAAGATAACTAAAAAATATTTGTTAAAAGCATAATACCCTAAAAACCAGTGGAGCTTCTCTGATGGAATAGAAATACAAGGCTTCCTAAATTAAAGAAATACAAATTAAAACAGGGAGATACATATATATATTATATATTTTGCCCCTCAAGATGCAAAAGATAATCTAAGTTGATTATACCCAATTAAGAGCTTAGGGCAGAATACACTCTCATATTAGGCAAGTGATTTTTTTATTTTGCACAACATTTTGAAGACCAAAATAGAAATGTCAAAAAAAAAAAGGTAACATGAAGATTCTTAGGAATTGAATCTTCTTCTACAACTGTCTCCTACAAAAACACTTCCACGTGTTGAGAATGGTGAAATTTAGATTGGGGAATGTCTGATAATAAAAAAAATGATAGGGGCCAGCCCAGTGGCGTAGCAGTTAAGTTTGTGCACTCCGCTTTGGCGGCCCGGGGTTCGCCAGTTGGGATCCTGGGCACGGACCTGTGCACTGCTTATCAAGCCATGCTGTGGCAGGTGTCCCACATATAAGAAAAAAAATAGATGAAGATGGGCACAGATGTTAGGTTGGGACCAATCTTCCTCAGCAAAAAAAGAAGAAGAAGAAGAAGAAGAGGATTGGCGGAGGATGTTAGCTCAGGGCTAATCTACCTCAAAAAAAAAAAACAAAAGATAAACATTATAAATAGCCTCATCACAAATGAGGCCAGGCTTTCTTTACCAATGAGTTTAGATACAAAATATATACTCCTTAAAAGAACAGAAACAAAACCATAAGTCTTCAAAAATCTAGAGTTGTCAAAGTTGCTAATAAGGAAATGTAGAACCGTACTGCATACTCTTTATCAGACCTTCAATTTTCAGTAATTATGGGAATATTTGACGTCTCTCACCCCGATGATGAAGTTGTTATAGTTTGCTGGGCTGCCATAACAAAACACCACAGCCTAGGTGCTTAAATAACAGAAGTTTATTATCTCACAGTTCCGAGGGCTAGAAGTCCAAGATCAAGGCATCGGCAGGTTTGTTTTCTCCTAAGACCTCTCTCCTTGGCTGGCAGATGACTACCTGCTGCACAGTCCTCACATGGTCTTACTCTGTGTACCCATTCATATAGGGCAGCAGTCAGATTGGAATAGGGCCCATCCTAAGGGCATCATTTTAACTTAATCACCACTTTAATGGCCTATCTCCAAATACAGTCACATTCTGAGGCTCTGGGGGTTA